CCAGCAGTTTTACCCAATGGAAACGGAGGTAAATCTAATGGTAGATGCAGTATCCTGAATACTTCTCTGCTGTCTCCAAGTTTGTTTCTTCTGCAGAAGTGAATCAACTTCTGAACTAATCCAAATGTATAATCATCCCTTAATTTCTGTTTTAGGATACGGTGTTAAAGCTGGCCCCACAAATGGACAACAACTGAAAGGTGGGGATAGTCTCATGTCATATTTTAGACACACACTGAGTAGGAATTAGTTGTTTTTTAGTAAAATTGTTTTCTTGCTGCAGGTTACGGCGACCAAAGTGGTGGGAATGGAGGACAAACAACGAAAGGCTATGGTAATATCATTTTTTAATATAAACATGAAATGTGAACCTGAATAATACAATGATGAACAAAATAACAGTATTGACATTATAATATTACTAAAGACACAACATTGGTAGGAAAAAGGGACGAATATTTTAAAATTTTCATTTAAGGTTTCTCACATGACCTGAAAGATAAGATTATCTCATTTCATAAAGGATGTTTGTGTTGTCTACCCTGGAAATCATGAAGGAAAGTCTGAAGCTTATTTGCTAATATTTAGATAATTCAACCAACTTTTATTTCAGCTGCTACTTCAAACTTTACTGAGAACAGTGGCAGAGCAGTGCCTAATGTGTTGGGAATATAATAAACTAAAGGAAAATAATGTTTGACTTACAAATAGCAAAGAATGATGGGATTTTAGTTCCATAGCACATACTATTCAGGGCAAAGGGGTTTTGTTGTAGTTTCCATATCAGAATCCAAACTTAATACTAACTTAGATCTGTTTGCTTTGTGTATCTAATCTAGGAGGAAATCCAGCAGTTTTACCCAATGGAAACGGAGGTAAATTTAATGGTAGATGCAGTATCCTGAATACTTCTCTGTAACTTTTAAATCAGTTTCCTCTGTAGAAGTGAATCAACTTTTGAACAAATCTGAGGTTATAATCTTCCCTTGATTTCTGTTGTAGGATACGGTGTTAAAGCTGGCCCCACAAATGGACAACAACTGAAAGGTGCAATAGTTTAATTTGTTATCATGGACACACACTGAGTAAGAATGTGTATTTTATCCTAAATGTATTCTTTTTGCAGGTTACGGTGCTCAAACTGGTGGAAATGGGGGACAAGGAACTAAAGGCTATGGTAATACTTTTCTATTTGTTGATTGTATGCTGGTAGAAGCTAAATTAGCTTTTTGCATTTGACAGTAAATCTTACTTCCATCTTTTTGTAATGGTTGTTATATAAACGATTGCTTAATAAAAACTGTATTTTGTATTCCACTAACTTGGATATCTGGTGGGACTGTGTCTTTCAGTTGGAGGAAATCCAGCAGGTTTACCCAATGGAAATGGAGGTAAATCTCATGGTAAATATACTATAAAGTTTTCTTTTCTACAACTTAACTCTGAGTATGCACCAAATAAATAATCCCACTCGGCTCCTGGTTGTTAACTGCCAGTACTTTTTCCTGCAGGATATGGTGTAAAAGCAGGCCCAACCAATGGACAGCAAATGAAAGGTAATATGAGAGTCTTTAAGAACTCACTTTCTCACACGTAATCAGTGTTTAATACAAAACTTTGTTTTTGTAACAGGTTATGGTGCTCAGACTGGGGGAAACGGTGGGGAAGGAACAAGAGGCAATGGTAAGAATAAGAAAAACTTTTTTTTTTCTAAAATTGGCATATAAAAGGAATTTTTGCCTTTTTAGAATCAGGTTTGTAAGGATGTACATTACATGTGAGAAACACTAGAACAGCTTTAGCTATGAGCAAGAAACGGAGCCCCATATTACAGCCGATTAAATATGTCTTTGACTGGGGGATTAATTATTATAAAGGGAGTCCATTTATATAAGAGATTATGTATGATTGTGTGTCAATGAAAAACATGTAAAGCACATTGTTGAGCTAATACAAGTTTAAAATGGGGCCAGTTGCACCTGGATCATATGCTTTTCTCCACTAGCTTTGATCTGTTTGCTTTTTGTGTCTAATCTAGGAGGAAATCCAGCAGTTTTACCTAATGGAAACGGAGGTAAATCTAATGGTAGATGCAGTATCCCGAATCTGCTGTTTCCAAGTCTGTTTTTCCTCTGCAGAAGTGGATCAACTTTTGAACAAATCTGAATGTATAGTCATCCCTTGATTTCTGTTTTAGGATACGGTGTTAAAGCTGGCCCCACAAATGGACAACAACTGAAAGGTGGGGATAGTCTCATGTCATATTTTAGACACACACTGAGTAGGAATTAGTTGTTTCTTAGTAAAATTGTTTTCTTGCTGCAGGTTATGGTGCTCAAAGTGGTGGGAATGGAGGACAAGCAACAGGATACGGTGTTAAAGCTGGCCCCACAAATGGACAACTGAAAGGTGGGACAATTGTATGTCTTTTCAAACTTAGAAAGTGTGTAAGAATTTTGGTCTGGTTTTGGTTTAAATAATAACCTTGTTGCAGGTTATGGTGCCCAAGCTCATGGAAATGAAGGACAAGGAACTAAAGGCTATGGTAATATACTTATATGTATAAAAAAAATGAATGGGACCTTTTTTGAAGGTTGACCATTTTAAGTATGAGAATATCAAGTAAAAATATTATATCTCTATAGATGCTGCTGTATACAGATGTTAAATTAAACATAATAGCAATACTGGGTTCAATATTCTTTATGTGAGAACAGAAATCAATATTTATAATGGAATACGTTTCACGTTCACATTGTGTTTACATTTAGCGGAATTCTTTGCTCCAGATTTATATTCTGCATCCACTGAAGCAGTCCACCCCAAAGACTGATATATACCCTCATCATAATCACATTCAAAAGACTGAATAGCAAAAAGTCTAGACTCAAGCTTTCTTCTTGTTACAGGTTCTGGTCCTCAAGCTGGTGGAAATGGTGGTGGACTGGGAACTAAAGGTAATGGCATTTTAATGTAAAGATGCACTAAATAAGAATTTGAACAGAGTTTGACCATTCTAGAATATGTTAATCATTCCGTAGTTCAAGGAGTAGTTGCTGGTCCACGGGGTGGCAATAAAGCAAGTTCATGTGGTCAGAAATATTAAGCACCCAGGGTTACTTTGATTACTTTAAACTTGTTTAAAAAATGTAGAAATACATTTTAGGAAGGATTTACATTTGACAGGAAAGTGAGGAGCTAGAAGTTGTTTGCTCCATGAGAGCTAAAGTTTTCTCTGTAGTGCTGCACCGAGTAAAAGCAAGACTTTAATGTAGCTAAGACTAAGGTTACTATCAAAACAATGCAAAATTAAAAATGTGACTCCCAGAATGTCCGGGAATAATATGTAACCATCATCTAGTATACCTGTGACAATCTTTGTATTTATTTTTTGCAACTTAATGTTGTTATGTAGGAGCTGTCAGGTTATCTCTAATATTTAAAAAGGTTAAAAAACAACCACAAAAACGTTTTGGTTAACATTGATAAATGTGATTGCAGGCTACAATGGGGGTTATGGCAGTGCTGGTTCTACTCTTGGACCACATTATGGAAATGGGGGAATGAAGGGACCAATTCAAGGTAGAATGGCTCTTGCTTCTGAATGAAAGTTAAAGCGATTATTTCCAAATGTCAAAACCGAAGTTCAGATCAATTTCTTTGAATTTGATAATGCAAAAAGTCAAATAAATAATTTTTTCAGGTCATTTGATACTGCTTACTCTTTTTATTTTAAGGGTTTGGAAATATGCCAAATGGATATGGTAGCAAACCCAATGGTAAGCATGACACTTATTTATAGAATGGATTCATTTTGTAGGAGTTTTTTTTATTGTTTTAACTTAGTGAAGCTTTAATGTAACTCCCTTGTAACGATGTTTTTAAGGGTATGAACCTCCCAGACAAGGAGCAGTGAGACCCCAACCAGGTACTAACTATTAAAACATGTCACATGTGAAACTGTAAAGCTCTACTGAGCTCTCTGACATTATATGCTGCATTTGATCTTAAGGTTATGGAAATGGAGCTGTTCCTCATGGATATGGATCCAAACCCAGAGGTAAAAGTTTTAAATTTACTATATATAGTTTGATAAATGTTCCTAGCTTATTGTAATTGTATATCCAAATGAAAATGCCCACAATGTGTCTTTTACATTTAACCCCAGGTTATGGAGCTGGAACTGGAATTTTCAAAGGATATGGTACCCAAGCAAATGGTGAGATTCTAAAAGCATATTTTGAAATGCCTTTTTAAAAATTTTCATCAATGATTAGACTGTTGATTTAATTGTCTTACATTTTTTCACGTGTTTATTATTACCAGTTGTAACAATATGTTCATTATCTCCATATTTAAATTCTCTCACAAGGCCACAGTGTTGGTAATGGAGCCACACTGGGTGGAAATGGAGGTAAACCTAAACAAGTTGTTACTTTAAAACAACTAATTTATCTTTTAAATTTAAGGTCATAAAGATAATGTATGTAATGTGTTCACAGTCTTTATCACTAGAGTTTATCTACCCTATCATGACATTTTGACAATCACTGTTTGCAGTGCCTGGTCCCAGCAGTGGCTCAAAGGGAGTAGGGGCCCCGAGTCAAGGTCAGAAAACACTCTTATCTGATTAAATCCTTTATGAAAATGAACAGTGTCTATGATGCGAAACTGAACCACCAAGTATGTAACCAAACAAGCTTAAGCAATAACAGAAAGGAAAACGTTCTTGAAACTGTAAGCGGTATTTTCCCTCACTTTTTTTTCTTTTTGCATTCCTTGACTGAAAATATTGTTTCCCTGGCCATGATGTGCCTGTTGGCACATTTAATGGACATCTGATAACCTTGCTGCTCTTTGCTGCTCATGCTAGCAATAATACCAGCCCTACTGTCAGTTTATCTTCTCTAAATCATAAAACAAGATTGTTCCTGGAAACCTTTGGCAGATAGCACTGTGATGGTTGTGTTACTGTTTATTCTTGTTCATTCATGTTACCATCTGTGAATTTATGTTTCTGAAATGTGCTTAACAGGTTATGGCACAGTGCAGAATGGAAAGGGTCAAGCTACTCAAGGTGCAGATGTTTTCAGTGGAAAGAGCTATAAAGGTGGGGCTCTTTCTCCTCAGCAGCATGTTGATACACCAGTGGAGAATGTTTCGCCTCAACATGAGACTGCTCAGGGTGAGGTCCCTGATGCCCCTGAGCCTACAAGTGGCATTCTTGTTATGGTGACACAAGAGAAATATCAAAAGCTACCACCACCTGTGGCCCAAGGAAAAAACTACAAAAAGTCACCACTTATCCATGAGGCCACACCAGAACCAGTGCCAGTACTTCCTGAAGGTGGAGAGCCAGACCATTTACCTGAACCTGCACCCATGGGACCAAAGGACAAAGGTCAGAAAGGAGCCACAACTGTACCAGTGGTTCCTCAGAGCAGCCCTGTATCAGAACCAGAAGCAGGTAAGCACACTGAACTTGAAACGACTTGTGTTGTTGTTGGTTTCACTTTATTCAAGTATTTGATATTAATTTTAAAGTGAAAAGTAAGGAAAAGTAGTCTTTCTTATTCAGCAGCATGCTGCAAAGTTATAATATAAATCCTTGAAAGAGTCATCTCAGTGTGTAAATTGAAATTCTTAGGCACACCTAAGATCATCCTGATTAACAGATGAAACTGTAAGATTCCACAAAGAATTAAGCATTGATGGATCTCTTCCCTGCATGCCTTGACCTTTCTGTTTCTGAATTTCAGAATCGAATGAAGATGTCTCCATCTCCAAAGGACAGGGACCTAAACAGGCCAAACCTGGTAAACATCTGTCCCTTCTCGTTGAACAGGGAATAGTTTGAGGGCTAAAGTGCCACAGTCATATTAGCTCTTTAATGCTTTGGTTGATTAACACAAAAGTATCAGTCCGATGACTGTATTGAGTGTGATAAGTGTATGTTTGGAGGAAAAAACTAATTTACAGGAAGAGAGCTCCAAAAACTTAAAAGAGCTGATCTTCCTTGAGATCCAAACACGGATCATTAGTTAAACTGGGTAGTTTTGGCTTTGATTTTTTTTTTTTCCAAGTATGTCTTTGAGTTTATTGAACATTGTGTTCTCAAATGTGGTTTGGATTACACTTGTGTTTTAGACTGTGGACCAGATGGGCAATGGATGAAGATACCCAGACCTGGTAAATTTAAGATGATATATTGTATGGGTGATATTTTAACAAATGATTTCTACACTCACGTCACACACAACGTCTAATTTGATGCATAGTCAGATGGAACCTTTTTTAAAAGAAATTGTAATAATAAAAATTTTTCCACTCATAAGAACACGTTAAAACACATTATGTTTATCTTAGAAAGTTGAAGCATTGTAAAACGTTTGTAAATATTTATTAGGTTATAATGAAGGTATTGGTGCCTCTGATGGAACAAAGTATTTGTTTCCTTGTTTATTCGTGCATTTTTGGTATTATTCATTTCTATGTGTCTATATGGCTCTAGGACAGCAGCCAGTTCCCAAAATATACTTTGTTTTAAATTCGATTTAATCTTGTCAATATTGATATGTATGAAATTTGAATAGGGGAACAATTTGCTAATACACCGTGTAATCCACTGCAGTTCATTCAGCATATTAATGAAGGGGCTAAGGACCTGTTACCATGGATAATGTGCTATTGTTTAGGATATGCTGGCAGCGCAGATGGGTACTCAAATGGAGGTGGCGGTAAAACAAATAAACCAGGTGAGATGCAGAAAAGATAACTAATGACATGATTTTGAATTGAAAGCAGACTGTATTAAGGTATATTGACACAGCAATCCCCTACCATTGAATCCCTATTTCTAAACTGTGACCTATAGTTGTCCTGTATTATACTATTATGATTTATTTATCTAAAGGGTATGGAGCAGGAGGAAACGTCTTTCCTGGACAAAGCAATGGATACGGAGCAGGTACTTGTATATTAATATAGCTTAATTTGTTACTTCATAGTACTTTTCTGCACGACTTAAAAAACGTATTTTGTCTATGCAGGGCTTGGGTATCATTATGGAGGTAAACCAGTGCAACCTGGTAAGTGTACTTTATTTACGTAAGTAGAATTTAACCCTTATAAGAATTAGGAAACATTAGAATTGAAAATATTTCAAGTAGCTCAATAAATGTTCTGTTTATATTCAGGCTATGGACAAGGAGCTTACCCCCCCGTTCGATATGGAAATGGCAATTCATACGGAGGTATATTTTAAATAAATATTCTAAATGGTTTTGTTTTGACTAAACTCCTACAAATTATTGGTTGAACCCAAAATGTATTACTTCCAGGAAAAAATTATTGTCGAATCTAAGTCTAATTTATGTAATTCTGATAAGTTCCTTAATTCATAAATATTTTTAGTGTATTTAAGTACAATACACTCCTTTAATTATCATATGCCAGATGCAACCCATTAAGCTGTGAACACTGACATTGTTTGCCTATTTTAAGGTTATGGGCAGGGCTATAGAGCAGGTCCACAGCCGGACTTTGCAAGTAAGGTCAAAATTTTTAACTTTAGCCCAGGTAATAAGTAAAATTTTGTGTTGATAATTGCAGAATATATATATATATATATATTCCAGGTTTTGGCCAAGGTGTTCCACCAGCTGATGCTAAATCAGGTACGACATAAAGGAAGAGTGAAGACACAGTTAATCAAAACTTCCTCCTGCTGTATTTATCTCTGTTTCCAAACACTTAAGTGAAGTAGTGAAAGTGTTCCTTACGCGCTGATTTCACAGGTGGTGCCAAGCAGCTTCCGTTCAATGGGGCACCAGTGGTTCCTGCTGGACTTGATGGTAAAGCCACGCCATTTGATAAAAATGTGACATGAAGTATTTTTTACATTTCAGAGATGTAAACAAAAAAGCTAACTCCTGAAGTAGAATAAACCCTTTGAGTCTTACTGGTGTAATGGATGTACTCATGTTTTCCTTTCGTTTGTGTAGGAATGAGTCAGTTTGAGCCTCAGTCTGCTGATCTTGGTCCAAATGGAAATGTAGGCAGTATGTATGGTGGTATGTGTATGACTTAACCTCTTATAACAAATACAATTTTACAGTCCTGCTATTTTATTTTAAAAAGTAAAATAATTAAGCCCACTAGAGTATTGTGCAACATTTCAGGAGTAGGTGGCTTGCCTTTTGGTGGTCAGGCACTTGGAATGGGTGCAGAGAAATCAAACACCAAATACGGTGAGTCACATTTAGAGGTAAATGGTATTGTGTTTATGCATTCATAAGATTATAGCTTACAGAACGTCTGTCCAATCTTATGTTCTTCTTAAGGGATTGGAGGGCTGCAATTTGGTGGGCAGCCTGTCGGTGCAGGCAAAAACGGTGGTGGAAATTATGGTCGGTCTGTTACCAGTGCTTAGTTTAATTTGTTCAACTATACAGAAACCTAACCGCCTTTGCCATTTCTCTCCAGGCTTTGGAGTTAACTCGTATATGCCTGCTGGGGATGGTAAATCCCATGGAAAGTATGGTGAGAACATGTTTGTCTTGACCAAGTATATACATATTTAAATAAAAAGATTTTTATATGTACCTCCATCTACACACATATACATGATCTCCTCTCAGGTCATGGTGGTTTCCCCAATGGTGGACAGCTTCCTGGCGGAAACGGAAATGCACCTGGTGAATACAGTGAACATTTTGCTCACGTTAGGCTCGCTTATGTTATGCTCGTATAGCCTTCTAACATCTCATCATTGTTTTTTGTCCTGTTTAGGTTATGGAAGACTTCCCTATGAAGTTCAACAAGCGGGGCTGAGCCCAGAGGCTAAATCTACAGGCCAATATGGTGAATAACCAAAAATGAAACAAACAGTCACCGGTGCTGGAAACTACTTAGTTTTTTTTTACTGTGAAAAATATGTGAACATTCAGAGATGGAAAACTATTAAAAGTCATGTTTGAAAAAGTAAATACTTAGTGCTTTCTTAAAGTTGACATCTGTCAGTGTCAGCATCTCGTCAAAGAAATACAAAAAAGGGCATAAGCACATTTAGGTCTTGGTGTAAGTGAATGCCTAGGCTATCATGGAACTTATGGAAAATATAAAATAAGTAATGTGTCTTTAAACTGGGATGAAAACTTGTGTTTAATCAATTTACTATATGTGAATATTTTCATCCAGCTCTGCCTGGATCCCCATTTCAGCCTGAACCAGCTGGCTTTGGACCCAACAAGAAATCAACAGCACATTATGGTGAGAATAAAGTCATCACAACCACTCCCTTTTTATTTTTTTGGGTTGACGTATATTATTTAACGTGCCATCTTTTTTTACTGCTTTAGGTGGCAGAGAGGTTCCCTACACACCACAGACTCTTGGTTTCGGAGGTGGAGCAAAATCTGGGAAACATGGTTAAGAATATGCTTTCAAATGTTTCTTCTTCTACAACATGCTGCCTGCATTTTTAATTGCTTACTCATTGGTTTTATTTCAATCTGTGAACAGACAAACAGGTACCATACCAGTCGCAGCCTCTTGAATCTGCAACTGAAGGTAACAGAGGGTGGAACTGTTGGGTAGTGTTTTTTTTCATGATCCAATCTCATGAATTATTATGTGCGTTTAACAGGTGTGACAGGTTTGACGGAACCAGACTCAACTGAACAACACTACGGTGTGTCAGGTTGTTTTTTTTAGGTATTCAAAAAATAAACCGAACTCTGCTTATGTTATCTTTTTCCTTCAATCCCTTAGTGAGGGCAGAGGTGCCAACTCCAGGGGTTGAGAGTGAGGAGCCCATTGATGCATATGGTTAGTATCATTTGGATTTCTGCATGCTGTGATACTACTATTATAGTAGATAATTATTCATCTATTACTCAATTTCAGATAATGTTGGCTATATAAACGGACAGGTGCAGCCAGAAGGTAAACAAAACATCCACGAAAGCAACAAAACAAAAACACACCTCAAAAATGATAGTGTCAAACCATGCTTGTTGTTGCTTGCTGAAGGTCCTGCAGCACCCACTGTCAGCACCACTTTGGAAAACCAGTTTGTGCCAGTAGAATCCCTCATACCCGACAAGTTACCTGCAGAGGGTGTTCACGGCCCAGAAAGCACAACTAGCCTCCATGAAGCTGAACCTGCAGCAGAATCACAGGGTGAGGCCCAGGTGCCCGAGCAGCCTGACGACCTGCAGCAGCTGCCACGCCAGATCCACATTCAGCAGCATCTCAAGCTGCACTTCCACCCACAAGGCAAGTCCTGGAGATGTTAACAGGGTAGTGAGTTAGTAGTAACATATATATATTTTTTTAATTAAGGGTCAGTTTATTCTTGTCAGGTGTCAATGTTTTGTTCTTTTTAGTAACTTTTTAAGTCAAATTGCCATGATCCTGTCAGCTGCACCAAAGTAATCCAAATAAACTCACCCCCCCTTGGCTTTATTGAAAGCGAGGCAATTTTTAAAATAAACATAACTGACAGAGCGAGCACTTTATCTATTTTTTTTAATAATGAAAATGGAATTTCCATCATCACCTGACCTTTTGGATCCGGAAACACACATTTTAGGGTTTATAGTTAGATAAATGATGGTGGTACACAAAATAATATCTAGACCCATTGTTTAAATTCAACATTTTCAGACTCTGCCTTTAGAACTAGTGCATTCTGGGACATATTATAGCAGTTGTTATGGAAAAATAATGATGTACTCTTTCTTCAGAAGCAAAATAGGACTATATATGCCAGTGTCATTGTGTGTTTAGTATAAGGCTAAAGCCATCAGCTCTTAGTTTAGTTTAGTGTAAAATAAGAGGTGGGGCTACTAGTCATTATAACTGTGTTTCTGTGTCTTCAGGGGGTAAAAACGGTAAATATGACTTGAATGGTTTCTTTGGAAATAGTGGCTATCAAGGTAAGAATAGACTGACAAAGTAAAAAAAATATTTTGCCGTTTCTCTGATTTTCCATGTTTATTTGTATTGTATTTGTTTCTCCAACAGGTTAACTCTGGTGGTAGAACAAAAATGATCCCTTTATTACTGCTGTTCCATGTTCGTCTCCTTGTTGTACATTCTCATTTCCCTCATACAAAAAGTGCTGGTAGTTTCATGTCTGTAAGTATGAAGTGTTTCACCATTTTTAGTTTAGGTTTTCTGATGTATTGTGCATGTTAATGACTTCTCTTTTTGTCCTGCACTTACTGGAAACTGTATGAATATTGTTTGAAAGATACAGTTTGCCTGCTGCATATAGTCAATATTTTTACTGAAGCTATCGTTTTTGTTGGGATATCTTTTCTTTTTTTAAACAAAATACTGTGACAATAATTCCATCTAATTTATTTTCCATGGGATGTTTTTTTTTTACCACTTGATGCAAATGCAACAATCTGTTCATAATTGTAAAGTGTTTGACTGAATAAAACCACCAAAGAGTCCCAAAAAAGTGTGTTTTATGCATGTGGGATGCTCAGCATGTTCTCAGAGCCAGTTAAACCAGTCCATTAATGGAACTACACCCTTAACTGTTTTAATTTCCTGATCATCCTAAATGCACCTGAGTGTGCAGATTAACATGGATTTTAGGTCTGTTTCCCGTCTACAAAGAGGGAAATACTGATGTAGTGTTATTCAGTATTGTGCCATGAAGTTCAGGTGTAAGTTAGTTCTTGACAATGACGAGGAGAAGCTGCCGCAGTGCGCATGGCATTCTGTGAGGATTAGACCAGATTAGGAATAAAAGCCGCCGTCCGATTGGTCCCACTGAAACCATGCCACTCAACAGGTTGCTTGCTTGGATTTACACCTGACTGACGATGGGTCTCATGGACCAGCCGGTCATGGTCACATCCAAGTCTGACTGTCCTGAGTCTACTAGGATGTAGATATAGGGGGACTGGAGATTCATATGAATGAAAAGGCACTGGCTGAAGGAAGCCATGATGGTGCTTTACCAAGGACCACGACTTCTGGACTTAAAAAAGACACCGCCACACCTGCAGTTCAATAAATATGTCCTGACGGGTTACCGGCCTGTGTCCACCGCTCAGGAGTGCTTCAGGAGCCTCTTTTACATGCACAATGAGTTGGGAAACATTTACACTCATGGTAAGTTCATGCATTGCTTTTGCTTTCAACAACTATTCTTTCTCTAAAACTCTACTGGTGTCATTATTAAAATGCTATTAATGTATTTACAATATGAAATATAGTTATGCTAAATTCAACGAAATACACAGATGTAGATCCTTTTAAACTGTAAGAATTCTTTCCAAACACATGCCGGCTACTCTCACTTATGACCAGTTCCAAGCATCCCTGACGGGACTAATGAGGATATGGGGGTATTAGCTGTAATCTGCCCTGGGAATCCCTGAGTTGGAAATATCCGACAGTTAACTAGGTCTTTAAAGGTGACTGGCTCTTTTCACTTAGAAAAGCGACTCGTGCATGCACACGGATGTTGAAAACACGTGGGATTATGTTTTTGTCAAGCCAATTAAAAAAAGCATGAAATTAACTTTTCATGACCATAAAACTGTAACGCCTTAGCTTCTGAAGGTTTTTTTTTCTTGTCACATATTGTCCTTTTGCTATCCCATAAGTTAATTAAGCCCAACAGTCTTATTAAGGGGAAGCGAAGGGTATTAACATATAAGCATAGCACAGGTTCCTCTCTGCCTCTCACCCAGCTACCAAACGCATCGTTCTGGGTCCATGTAGGCATGTATCAAGAGGAACCACTTTCCATTTCTTGTTCTGCATTAGGGGATATTTCAACAGTTACATTTTAGAAGAGGAAGAAAAGGTACTAAACTTTAACTTTCAGCAGAGTTATTCAGGCTTCAGTTCAATTCCAAATAAATGTTATGCCACAAAGGCACTTTGTACAGTTGTATGCTGAGATATAAATTTCGACTCATTCTAATTTATTTTATCTAATTTAATCTAATTCATCTTCTTTCCTATTGCCTTAGGGATTCCTTTCTTCCTCTTCTTGGTGCTGCTGCCTTTTAGTATCCCCTGGATGGAGGTGGACTGCACTTGGATTTGTGTAGTCCACTACCTGGCCTGCCTCTGTCCCACCGTTGGCTCGGTGGTCTACCATTTGTTTATGAACCACATAGGAGGAGAACATGTGTACGACACCCTGCTCTCCCTGGACATGTTTGGCGTCTGCCTAGTTAACACTCTGGGTAATGTAATGTAACACTGGGACATAACACTGCTAATAAGCCAGATAATTTCCAAACAGAAGAATCCTGCTTTATTGTTGAGTTCAGTCATATAAAGAATTATTTCCTTTATCAACCTTCACATCAGGAAGAAGATTAGTTATTGTTTACAAGCACAGAGCACTGAGCTTTAACAGAGATCTGGAAATATGGCCAATCAGGCCCAAAAAAAAAAACAGATTTCAGGGTATAACTGACCCTTTTACTGCTTTGTGTTAAATTGAGTTTTGAGAAATGCAATGCTGAACAAATACAGCCATCTTAACAGAGATATTAACAAGAACATCTGCCTTTCTTCCAGGTGCCCTTCCCATCATTTACATCACCCTCCTCTGTTACCCCATCGTGCAACAGATGGCCTTGCTGGTCTACGTGCTCCTGTCAGCCTATGGAATCTACTGCGCCACCACGGCCCGAACCAACGTGCTGCGCCTGCGGGCTTTCGTCTGGCAGGCTTTGTTCCGCTTCACCCTCTTCCTGTTCCGCGTTTATGGCAGCGGGGTCGGCAGCCCAGACTCCCTACGACTGTTTGTCATCATGGACAGTCTTGCAGTGCTGGGAGGACTGGTCAACATCATCCAGATCCCCGAGCGCTTCAGCCCAGGCCTGTTCGACAACTGGGGCAACAGCCACCAGATAATGCACGTCCTGGTCATCTGCTCCATTATCTACCTCCACTGGGGAACTATGGAGGACTTGGCCTGGATCAAGACCTACCAGTGCCCCACTGAGTGATGGCAAGTCCATCACACTCAAGACTGCACTGTGGGAGGGTAGGGAGGCTGAAAATGCACTTTAGTCCTAGCAGCTGAAAGTCTTAAAGGAAATTTGTAATGTAATATTTTGCCAGAGAAAAATAAGAAACTAACAAAGTTGTAACCGTGGAACTCACATATTGCTATACCTAATCAAAAGTCCTGCGCATACTTGATATAGCTTCAGTTTGACATGCAGTAGTTTTTTTGGGTAATTCAATCTTTTATGAGTCTTTAAAATTGAAATAACTACGTAATAAATTATATATTTTTATATCTTGCTCCTACTTTAATTGAATTCATGCATGGCCCCGGCTGCTTGTGTCAAAGTGAGGCAGCAGCTGCACAAACAATCTGAAGATGTACAGCAGAAGACAAAAAGAAAGAGGACTCTTTGATTTTGTAGCCTGCAAAGTTTATCTGTGGGGAAAGAGTGTTACATTCTTATCATATTGGCATTCTCATTTACTGGTTATTATCATGACTTTATCTTAGCCTTTGAAAGACACTTTCAACCTTCAAACCAAAAGCTTCAAATCACTTAAAACTGCATCAAATTATGTGAAACCACAGCCACATCGGGAAGGTGCAGAGGTAGAGTCCCTCCACCAGAGCAGAGCAGCTTTGTTGTTTAACAATACAGATTGACGCTCCTCTTCTTTTATCCCAGTCATTTATGAGTCTTCATCTGAGCTATCGTCATCTTCTGCATCTGACAGATCAGCAATGGGAAACCGCAGGAGGGCGGCCACCCCGCTCAGCTGAGTCAGTTCTGAGGAGACAGGGTCATGGGAAGATTGTAGAGTTCTTAAACTTAACAGCCAGCAATGAAACCGACCAGATCGTCGCTTAATTGAACTGAGACAAAATGACACCAGTAAATCATTCCAATAAACTAAGTTAACATCAAAGTATTAATTGACCTTAATTCAAATAATCCAGTTGAAGTTGGCAAAAGCTTTCAATGTCAGTGAAACAGAAATCTAGTTTGTGTCAACCTCAGAAGAAAACTGGAGTTATTGCAACTTTTTGGCCAACTCCAAGATAAATTAACACGAGTAGGGAAGCAGCCACATATTTCAGCTGATACGGTGAATCCAAACGAGTTCTGGTCTTTAGAAGTCTCTCCAGCTGTTTTGGTTGGTGCCAGCTGCCTCTCCCTGCTGATTTGTACTCTACAGATACTGTGCTCTGAATCAAAGGGCTCTTTCAACATTACTCATTTAAGTAAAAGTAACTTACGTTCTCCAGACACATGAAGGCTTGAGAAGATTCTGCGTGAAAAATGGAGATCGTCAGGCAAAGCGTCAACCGGTCATTCAGGGAAAATGTGAGTCCACATGTTCAAAGACTCCCCATGTTTGCTTATTGCTGTGGTAGGTTACCTGACATTGCCACCGTTGTCTCTCACGCTGTCAACCAAGCGGACATAACGGCTCCTTGTGGGGACGTCCTGATGCCTGGACCCACACAAACAGGTAGAAACAGTCAGCAAGTTCTCCTTTGTGTCTTTAAGAACCTCAGTAACAATAAGCTTAAACCCATAAAAAGGAAAGGGGTGAACCTCTGAGCACTCAAACAGATATGTGATGCTTACATTTACATCCCTTTGGTTTCGTCTCTGTCAACAACCTGGACAGAGACCGATCTCTCTGAACGCACCTGAACAAATGATCACTTATGAGGAGGGTGTCGATGGCGAGGGCTTCAGCGGCTCTCTCCACATGGCCGAGGCTGCGAGGAAATACAGACACAAACAATGCTGAAAACAGGGCGACAGAGCGAGGTCCCTGTGTGTCACCACTGTCTGGTCTCCCACCCGTAGAATGCTCTGTCAGGCTCGTTCTTCAGCATCTTATAGAAGTCTTCCAGGGCTTTCACCTCTCCAGCAGCCTGGGGGTTAAACAGTAGAAGCCGGGTGTCATCTGTCAGCAGCTAATAGGACTACTACTGCTCAGTATTTCACTATGTTTATGTTTATGCATTTAGCAGACGCTTTTATCCGTACAGAGTAAATGCCTGCCCCGTGTGAGGGTCGAACCAACAAACCTTCAAATTATGAGACTTATGCGCTGCCTACTGCGCCAACAAGGAGGCACTAAACTTGTATTGTTCTTGTGATGTAAAGGGCTTCACATAAGATAATTTTAGTTGAACTTAGTTTATAACAGACAATTAAGAGATACACCTTTTAACTTGGGAGCATCTGTTCACAGAATGAATAACAAAACGTAAACTAGAAATTAGAAAATGGAATCACCTTGGTATCAGAAAGTCTACTCGTCACAGTGGGGTCACAAAGGATTTCTGTAAAAACAAGCATGCCTCTGAGTGATGGAGTTTGAATGTTTTCCTCTCACAAACACAGCAGCTCCTACCTTTGAGCGAGTACTTATGGCCGGAGGATGAGTGCACCAGCATGAATTTGGGTCGATTCTCGAGTAAGACTTTGGTGTCCTGTCGCACCGCCTCTTTAAAGAGGTACGTCATGAACTGGTCCTTCACAAACCCTGGGCTGGCCACCAACATGCACTTCACCACTTACAGAGGGCGAGGAGGAAAAAAACAATTTCAAACTTAGTTACCCATAATAAACCACAAGTGACCACAGATAAACATTGGGAAGTTTCACATCAGAGTAAAAACATGCCAAAACCAAAAGAAAAAGGGTGACAAACCAGGGACATGTGTGTGTACAGATATATAACAGAGTTCACCTTACCGTCAAAATTAATATGGCGAATAATTGCCTGCATCACAGCCTCATAAAACCTCTCCAATGCCTGCAAACAGGGACAGCCGGACATCAAACACAGCACCTGGTAACTACACGATGCCCCTCAAGTCCAAATGCAATACCGCCCCATCTGCATGTTGTTTATGTGCTCTGACACAAAAGATTTTTTCTCTGCCAAAGACACACAATCAGTGACGAGGCAAGTTTCTTCAGCATTTTCAGCACAAACTGATTCCATCTGGGCCAGCAGAGAGGCTCAGCTAACTTATTCCCACTTTAGTCATCATTCAGCTGATTTGAGTCATAGCGACACAAAAGTGAAAGCATGGTCACAGTTTGGATGCATAATATACCACCTAGTTACATACAACCGGACTTTATAATACTATTAGGAAAGCTATGTCTCCTTAGGACAAGTACGTAGATTTAAATGATGGATGCTAACTAATTATGACAGAAGGTGTAGCCCCATGCCTGTAGCCAACATTGTTTTATTCAAAAGGCAAATGCCTTTTAAATAAAAACAATGATGAAGAAGTGTCAGATTCTGAATACTGAACAACTGTCTACCAACTTCCTTTCAGCAGACTACAATCCCATTTCACTCTTTTAGAACAACATGCACTAAAAAAAAAAAAAAAAGAATTCTGAGACAGCCACTCACGACAGCATAAGCGTAAGCAGACTTTAAATGAGTTAATGGTGATGCCTCTGCGCCACCGTCATAAGTATTTACTTGTGACCAAAATCAATTTCAAAGTCTAATTTGATGTGGTCATCCTCTATGGGGGTATTTCTGAATAAGCAGGAGCTTACAGTACATACTGTCAAGAAGCTGTGAGGCAATGTGATTTTTGGCAGTAAATAAACAAAAAGACAACAGATAAATGTGTTAGATCTCCTAAATACCGAGCTTTAAATGCAGACTGAAAATAATTTACCTTTTCATGCTGGCTGCAACTTCCCTTTCTCTTGCGAGGAATAGTGACTTCCACTTTGGCACGAAGCAGAGTCATGGCGGGGGTCACCAGCACCAGGTTGGCGAGACCCTCCTGCATGACCACAGCTGCCACATCGGCCCTCTGGGCAGGATCGCATGCCTGCTCTATAGGCCAGACAGTGACACAGTCAAGGGATCCCCTATGTTAGCTAACCCAGCATGGATTTATCCTCAATGTTTCGCTGCCAAATGGCTGCTTTAACGCAAGATTCCCTTTCTGTCTAAAAAAACTGATTTCCGTTTACAAATGTCAGTTAACATACAAAACTAACACTGCGGTTTCACTCAGAGTTTAATGGTAATTCCTACTCACCGATCCTATCCAGTACCACACTGTCCCAGTTCTTTTTGGCCAGAGTGAATTTCCTATTGAGCTCAAGCTCAATAGTGTGGTAAGCTCCCATCTGTTAAGAGAAACACAAAAACATGATTAAATAAACCTTCATTCCACACAGATCTAACAGACAACACAGCACCTAGGCTTGGGTAATTTCTTTGCCTGTTTTGCCAGTCAAATGCAGCTTGAACTGGCAAGAACAAAGAATGACTGAAAAATTGAGGTTGGATAAATGTATCAATAACGAATCACAAAGGGGTCACAAACTGGCTTGTTGCAATGAAATCTCAGACCTTGACATACTGGTTCTCCTCAAGGTTAGTGCCTTTGACTCTCAGCTGGCATGCCTGGGTGTCAAAGTCGATAGACTCCACACATAATGTCAAAGTAGTCCTGACTCTCGAGCTCCCCACACTTCCTGTAGCAGACTCCGTCTGTACTTTTCTGTAAGAAAATGGAAACGTATGGTTTAAATGTGAAACATCCATTAATGGATCAGAACAGAACAAAAACAATCACTTACTAATACTGACTGATACAAATACATCCTTCTCTTAAGTCTCTACAATAACCAAAGAGCATTGCTGCACGTGTGGATGCATTACACACCACACATCTATGATTAGTGCCATAGCATTGACTATGAAATACAGCTCCTTACCAGTTAAAGACAGCACCAGTAAAATGGCAGGAAACATTACTGTGCTCAGAATTCCTACATTCTCTGTTTGATGGGATGTTGACACATGCCCTCACCTTCTTATGACAAAGTCATTACCTGATCGTTGACGCTCTCAAGCTGTCCCCCACTTGGAGCAGGTTATAGGTGTGCCACATATCTTCTGCCTCCTCGGGCATCAAAGTCACCTGACTGAAAAAATGTTTGCAGGTATTCAGCTACCATAGACGTTGGTGTCATTTTGAGAACGCAATGTGACAAGCCGCACGCCTAAATTCCTTCATGCAATGGTATATAGACACTGGAACGAGTCAAGCCTTCATCCTGCTACAAAAACTCCTATGTTTGCCAACTTTGGTGCTATAACAAAGAGACAGTTTTGTCCAGTTTAGGTAAGTCACTGTTGGTCTTTTACATATCAGCTACCAAATTATTTTTACAATTCTACTGTAGCTCAAAAAAAGAATAAATTCTTTAATTTGTTTGCAACATATTTGTTGCAAACAAATTAACAACAGCTGCGTTGACTCATGAATACTGAGCTATACAACTAGCATGTTGACTAGCTAACTAGCATTAGCTGTCACAACTCACTCACCCGGCATTATCTTTCTCAATGTCTTTATGGAGCAACTTCATGGTAGGATGTTTATATTATACGAGTAGTAATATTAATATAGAATAAAGGGGCGGACGCTGTACCAGGCTGTAGACATGTTTAATTTGAGTCAGAACACAATTAATGCTAAGCTAAGCCATGTCTCAACTTTAGAATGAATCAGTCGGTTCGTGTTGCCAGGCGCTCGAACATTGCGTCATGCCAAAATACGTCGTCAGTTCTCCCGACGCGTACGACGCTGTCACTTCCGTGGGTGTCGCTTTACTGCGCAACAAATACAAAGCGACCCAAACTCAAATATTAGAGTGAATACCAGTGCACATAGTTCATCCTGAACTGTTAATGAAAAAACTCAAATTTCTGACGACAAGGACTCTGGACATATCAGAGAATGATTGCCCTTTCACACGATATGGTTTTGAGAAGAGTAAATGCTGACGGATGTTGAAAACAGCTAATCAGAGAAAGGATTGAATGCATTAGACACCGCCTCTCGACCAAAACGTACCAATAACAGCACGGAAACACTCGGACCATTTCCGTTCAAGCTCACTTTGAGCTAACGCTCCCTTAGCCTTTTTTTGTCGATGGCATGGTGCTAGCAGATACGACAGAAACGTCGTTTTGACGGGAAAATACGAATACTCAAAAGAGAATTCGAATATTTAACGAAAAATCGTTAATTAATTTGTATTTTGCAGCACATGTCAGCCATTGCATCTTCAACTATTCAGCTTTCAGCCTCAAATTTTGAGGTTGCCAATTATTCTCCAAGGTTAGCTAGCGGGCTAAGGATAGCCGATTAACGCTAAACTAGTTGAGCTAGCGATAACTCGGTGTCAACTTAACGGTCATTGCGTTTTGAATTTGTACTTGTGATATACTGCCCAACAAAAAGGGGAATAGCATGGCAGAAGCTGATAAGTTAAACATCGACTCCATTATACAGCGTCTCTTGGAAGGTAAGATTCAATATTTTGGCAGGTATTTATTCACCCGGGTACCATTTTAGCTAACGGAGGGAAGACAACGACCGCCGCCAATGTTCGGCTAGAATGTTATCCATTTCTCGCTTCTTGCAAATGCAGTCGAAGATTTGAGTTGTGTGGGATTGCAAGCGTCGATCCTATTCGATCAATTGTGTTCTTAGTGCAGTAAACTGGCAACTGATTTCCCACCGTGCTGCTTTTAAAGTATCCCGGAAATGTTCACATAATTTTACTTGCCTCCAGAAAGTGACATTGCAGGAGTTTAAGTCGTTTGTTTTCACTGATGTAGCTTTTTGTTATTGTTTGGCTGACCGTGGTGAACTTGTATTAAAACAAATCGCCTGGCGTTTTCCGTACAAAAGGATGTTTTGCGTAATTACACATTCCTTTAACATAATCATTAACTAAGCATTACTACAGTAGGTTGTTTCTTTAGGTGGTGTCTTTTTGTTTTGGTTTACTGCAAAAAAAAAAAAATGTAAATGGATATAATAAAGTCCTCAATAATCGGCTGAAACACCCATGGAACGTACGTTTTCCAGGTCATCCCTATTAACAGGTCACCGTGATTGTTTGTTTCAAAATTAAAATAGTTTCCCTACTGGCCTGTGTATGAAAAGAGGTCACACAAGATCTGCAATGAAAATGCAACAGGAAATCTAAAGCATCTTTTCTAAAAATTGTATTCATTGCATTTGTTTGTTTGTGACGTGGACACATCTTTGTTCCTTCTATAAAAAAAAATGTGACACCCTTTTTTAATCTATCTGATGATTAAGCTCATTAGATTGCAAAATAAATCCAATGCAAACAGAGCTTGTGAATTCTTGTCTTGAGCTGTATATTTCTCTCTGTAAAAAAAAAAAATTTAAAAAAAAAGAACAACAACTCCTAATGCTAATCTGTTACTTTACTGCTACTTTCAGTCATTGTTCCATTTTTCTACCAAAATGAAACTGTTTATAAAGTCTGCCGGCAGTTTGCTTTCCCTCACTAGTTTACAATTTCCTTATCTTTCTGTCTGTTTTTTCCTCCCTCTAAGTCAAAGGTTCCAGACCTGGCAAAAATGTTCAGCTGACAGAGAATGAAATCCGTGGTCTCTGCCTCAAATCCCGGGAGATCTTCCTCAGCCAGCCAATCCTGCTTGAACTTGAGGCTCCCCTCAAGATTTGTGGTGAGGCTAAATTGTGTTTGAAGTCAAGGGCATGTTTTTTTTCTTAGTTTGACACCACATATTTACAATGAAGTGCTGGATGAAAATATTCTGTTGACTCACATTTTGAACTACTTGTTCAAAGCTGACCTTTTACAAAGACATTGATGTTGTTTGGCTGTGACTGTGTGTCACGAAGACACAATGTTTCAAATTCAGGATTCGTTAAAGTTTATAATGCAGTAAAAATCGTAATTATACATTGCCAAAGTCCATCGTGCAGAGGTAGTAATCTCAGTTAAGGTGAACAATAAACCTAAGATTTCTGTTCTAATTAAACAGTCTTGGTACAATGTGTGTCTGTCTTTGCTGCACATAATGTGTCATTTAGATTTTTTGTTTAAAATAAAATCACAATAACCACAGCATAAAACAGCACTAACTTAGCTGTTTTATGATTCAACATCAGATCAGACCAGCTTATCCTTTATCCTTGTACTTAACATTGTTGTGTGCGCTGTCGTAAAAACACAAATATATAAATAAATATGTTGTAGTGGATTATATCTTCACATTCATATACTTGTAGAACACGACTTGCATCCCATAACTGTTGTTTTGAGTTGCCGTTGGCTGTTACAAACACTGCTGCACAGCTATAAATCAATCTAACAAAGTTCTAAAAATCATGCTCAATTATTCTCGTCTCTCCAGGTGATGTTCATGGGCAGTACTATGATCTTCTGAGGCTGTTTGAATACGGGGGCTTTCCACCAGAGAGCAATTACTTGTTCCTGGGGGACTACGTAGACAGAGGCAAGCAGTCTTTGGAGACCATCTGCCTGTTGCTGGCTTACAAGATCAAATACCCAGAAAACTTTTTCCTGCTGAGGGGAAATCATGAGTGCGCCTCCATTAACAGAATATATGGCTTCTACGATGAGTGTAAGTATCGTGTTATGCACAGTGACAGAAACCTTAGTGTTACATTCTGATCTGTTGTGGTATGAGCAAGTTATTGCAAGATATGTTTTGATTATGTTTTTTTCTATGATACATGTTATGGTTGTCTTGAAAAAAAACTATTGCTCTCTGAGTTGAGAATTAATGTACCAGTTAATAATTATAGATACTGAGCCTGAGTTGATAAAGCAGGCTTTGGAAGTGACATTATGAGGCATAACAAAAGCTCAGTTGGAGTCTGAAGCCTCCCAGTAGACCAGGCCTCTGGCTAAGAGCATGATCAGGCAGTATGAGCAGTGATTAATCACATGCCTCTCCTGTTCACAGAGCCAGGATTATGTAAAAGGTGTTTCTAATCTGGTACAATAGATCCAGCTGGTTTTATGGGTCTCAAGATTAGATTGTGACAAAGTACTTGTGCTCTCCTTCCACAGGTAAGAGGCGATACAACATAAAGCTGTGGAAGACTTTCACCGACTGCTTCAACTGCCTGCCTGTCGCAGCCATTGTGGATGAGAAGATTTTCTGTTGCCATGGAGGTATTCTCATTAAACACTTAATTTGTCTCCAGTCCAGAGCGCACACACAAACTCGCCTGTGTTCTGTTGTTCTTGTCAACATCGTGGTCAAAGGACAGTACCATTGACTCTATTTATATATCCTTTCCCCTATCAGCAGACACAGCTTAGATACAGGTACAACTTTAACAGACTGTGACTATGACTTTGAAGCTACTTGATTGCTTTGGTGGATTTACTTTTTTCAAATTAAAGTGAAAAAGGGAATGGTTTTTAAACCTGTGAAAATATAAGGATATTGTAAGATTATTTCATGATTTTCAAAGAGAAGTTACAGAGTTATACACAACAGTTCTCTGCGCATAAAAAAGAGAGGAAGCGCTTTCTTTGAAAACCGTTTTTATTTGTCATCTGTGTTGCCTCAGTTTGTACAGAATATGGAAGTGGTTTGAAAACAAATTTAAAGGGCTCAGACAGAATGACACGCGATGAGTCACGGCTATCTCTTGTCTTTACAAAATATGTAAACAAGCACTGATAATCATGAGGGTAAATTCCACTTTCTGCTTCAAACATAAAAAGTTGCAGATGACAGAATACACAGAGCTTCCTTAAGTTCTCATTCTGAGCACCATGAAGTTACAGTTTTAATTACATTTTAGCAGCCCACAAGCACCTCACTCAGAGATCTGGTTTTCCAGAAGCCACTGTGGCCTCTGGATGGGGAAGGCTAAATGTTGCTACTTGCTCCCTACATTTCTGGTCATTCATTTTTTGTCTGAATGCTGAGATCACTGTTTGTTTCCAGTGAATGGTTGTTACACTGTGTATTGTGAGATTGAGCAGACAGCAGAATTACACAAACACCCCACATCTGAGACAGTGTAAAAAAAAACCCCACAAAAAACTCACGGTTAGTTCCTGAACTATAGAAACAGTTTGGTGTCAGCTTCATAAAAATAATGTAAAGTTTTCCCATTTTTTTAACTCGGCATTCTCTCTCTTTAGGCCTGTCCCCTGACCTCCAGTCCATGGAGCAGGTGAGAAGGGTGATGCGTCCCACGGACGTGCCCGATCAGGGCCTCCTCTGCGACCTGCTGTGGGCCGACCCGGATAAGGACGTTCTGGGATGGGGCGAGAACGACCGTGGCGTCTCCTTCACTTTTGGTGCAGACGTGGTCACGAAGTTCCTCCACAAACATGACATGGACCTGATTTGTCGAGCTCATCAGGTGAGTTGGGGATCTTTGTTCAGTCTGTAAAGATTGATCCAACAGGTGAAGAGCTGAGTGCGACAGGCTCTGATTCACTTTACGGTCAGAGGAGGGTCTCTGTGGGAGCTTGGCTCAGGATCATTACAGTTCCATGTAAAATTTGAATTAATGTGTTCAGATTCTGAAAAAACAAATGAAAATGTGATTGTTAATGAATATTTAGCACCTCGAAGGTACTTTGATGTTAAAAGTCAGTGTGTGATTTTAAAGCAACGTTAATGTTATCTTGCTCAATGTTAAAAATGTTGATGATTCATTCGAATGTCCATGCCTGGGAGTTTCTGGTGTTCTTCCCAGTGCTGCAGAGGAACTCAGAAGAACCCAGCTTGTAGAGCAGATGCTAACCCTCCATGTGTCATTTCAGGTGGTTGAGGATGGTTATGAGTTTTTCGCAAAGAGGCAGCTGGTAACGCTGTTTTCTGCGCCGAACTACTGTGGGGAGTTCGACAACGCCGGAGCAATGATGAGTGTCGATGAGACCCTCATGTGCTCGTTCCAGGTAAAGTAGCGACGAGCCACTCCTGCTAAATAAAGCCATCCGGCCTCGGGGTTTTTCTTTTTGCTCACTTCCTTGTCATTTTCGTTCAGATTCTGAAACCTGCCGACAAGAAGCTGTTCTACGGTGGTGGAGGGGGCATGGGCTCCGGCCGCCCAGTCACTCCTCCCAGGAAAGCTAAGAAATGACAGCAGTAGTTTGCCCTCGACCTCCGGCCCATCCTTCCTGCCCTCTCTACCTCTCTTCTCCTTTATTTCACCAAACAGCCAGAAATCAAACCTATACCCAGGGCTTTTTTCCTTTTTTATCTGTACTTCTTAAAACATTTAATGTTATGAATTGTCTGAGTGGATGTGTGCGTGAGCAGACTACAAACATGTCTCGTCTGCAGGTGAGCATCAAACCATGTGTGCACGTGTACATTTTGTGCGAGAGTATTAGAGATTTATACTTTCCCTTTTCTCTGACCACTCTTCCCGTGGGAGGTGGAACCACAGTGTCAGTCTGTACAGTAATTTGACTGAGAAATTAGTGTTTGGGAGATGGTGGGGATTTGCTAACACATTAGATTTGGCAACAACCTCCTGCCTGCAGGTGTGTGTACATGTGGAAGGGGGGTGTTTTGTTCCCTGTCCTCTGTACAGTAAAATATTCAAAGAAAGGCAGGTGTGTGCCTACGTGGTGTCTTGCCTGTTTGAGCATAATGTCTCAATTTCTTCGAACAGGGAGGAGCTTCATCTTTTTAGAGCAAGCACACACTAATACACACACACATTACAAACAATTCTTCAGATTCATGAGCCAGAGCTGTAAAAACCCCCCTAACAGTTTAGGTTTGTACAGATTTGATTACTTGAAGCAATTTTGTTGTTTCTTTCTTTTTTTTTTCTTTTTTTTCTTTTTTTTGTGAATTCGTTTTGTAGTCTTTCATCAAGTTGACCAATAAAGCAAGAATCTGAACTGAATGCTCTACCAGTGTGTTTTTTTGCTGTCTCAGCAGCATGCTTCAGGATTGTTGGTCCTCCCTCACACTGATTATGAGGTGTGGTTTATCTGCTGAGATCACTGGAAGCATGAGGGCAGACATGTTTGATAGAAGTTATATGAACAATAACTTACAAGAAAATTCTAAAACTTTTATTCGAACTAGACTATAACCTCAATGTGAAAAAAATGCTCTTTTTTTTTCTTTTAGTCTGCCTCAATTTTTAAAAAGTATGTATGGAAAGCAAGTGTTTCTGTAGGACAGTTTTTCTTTTCGATGCGTTGTAGCCGTTTTCCACAAGGAGGCAGTGTCAGCTCCTTTAACCCTCGGCAGATCCTCATAAAACAAAAACAGAAGCTTTTAGAAAAAATACTTTGCATTTTTTTTCTCAGTTAGGCATATCTTGACAGCTGCCTCTATTCATTGAGCTATGCAGAGCTGAGATGATTGACTAACAGACGTGTCAGTATTTAGGACACAGATCCATTTGCTTTCACCAAGTCCTCACATTCAGTGTCTGTTTCTGCATATGGACAGTGTTAAATTATCTGTTTTCAGTCTTTCTATATTTATCAAATATAGCCTTGTTTCCTTCTTAGGCATTTCTCGAGCTCTTTCTGCATCCATTCATCTTCCTGTCAGCAGCGTCCCCTGTCAGGACACTCTGTAAATCACTCTGCATTCCCTTTACAGGAACAGAGAGGGGAGAAGTGACGTGTTTATAGCTGACAAGGAATTGAACTCCACAATTCTTTGTTATAAAGGAAATGTAGTTTATTTTTCCCGTCACCGAACCCTATAATTTGCGTAACTGTTTCCTGTGTACTTTTATTGCAGAGGATGATGGAGACTTGAGGTCACCCTCGGTGGCCACAATCCGTCAGTGACTATACGGTCTCAGATTCTAGCTGCGGTGCTTCTGCAGGATTGTGTTTCTGATTTCTGTGCTGGTCAGGGAGTCTTGAGAACTGAAATGTGACCTTGACCCTGGTGTGTGTAGGTTTACGGGATTCAGTTGTGTGAAAAAAAAGATCAAACTTCATGAATCGCAGAATGGAGTCCATCTTTGTAGCCATCACATTCACACCACTCACAACTGAACGACCCCAGAATAGTGTACTGGATGAACAAGAGAAGCCTACTCAAAATAGGTAACACACTGAAGACGTAGTATATTTTCAAGAGTTCGTCTTTCAGATGATACCAAATACTGTACATACTCATACACAAAGCTATGCTGGCCTGACATACTAAGCCTTTTAATTTATGACTGCTATTATGAAACTCCAGAAGGATTTTAGTCATGACACATCAGCAACAGTATGTCATTTATGAAATACAAATCTCTTTATACAGGGAGATGTGCCATTGAATTCATTGTGAGGATGACACCACATGACAGTACAAGTGGATGGAGAACCAAGAGGAGCTCAGCGGTGCTTTTCTGTGAAGCGTGTGGTAAATGACTTTGTAACAAAAATGTAGACAAAGATTTCATGAACGAAGGAACGACTTAATTGAGCACAACAAAAGATCCTCCAACGTTGAAACGTTATGTCAGTGTGAGCACGACTCGTCCTTCTCTGTAGTTCCGATCAAGCACCCGAGGGGCTGCGCACAGTAAAGGCCGGTACTAGTAGTGGAGCTCCCTACGTTTACTCTTAAGGGCCAATCTTTTTTGAAAAGAGTCACTCTCTACTAAACTGGATTTACTGAAATCAGAATTGGTCTGAAGGCTGCGTTGCCCAGTCAAACGCTTTCGCCAGCAGGTTAACAACCCCGGCCTCTAAAACTGCAGAGGCAGCCAAGTAAGTTACACTCCTGTAAAACGAAAGCCTCTTTTGATCAACGGGCTCACTTTCCTCTCAACTCCCCCGTGGCTTACAGTGTGCAGCTCTAAGTGTGTGGAATGGTGTTAACAACCAGGATCTCTTGAGTCCAACATGGATAGTGATCATCCTGGAGTCAAACTTTCACTCCAACTTACCTTTTCCCCAAATAGTTGAAAGCGGGACTTTGGGAGCCTGAGCAGAGGGCTTATCGTTCCGACATTTAAAAAAAAAAAAAGTGGTAAAGCGGCGGTGGTGCCATGACCAGCCGCACACTTTCACCTGCTCTATTTTTACTTGTGAGGAATTCTGGATTCAGAGACTCAGCTGCCATTTCTATTATTACTATTAGCTAATGCTGTAACAAGTACCCTGCTAACACCAGCTCCGCCACGCCTTCACCCACAGCCCCGTCGCCCCCGCTAGCATGTCCTCTCAGCAAGTGCCAAACTCACTAAATCCTAAGTTATGCTCAAATGGCCTTTTGTTGTGAGTCACTGCAGGATGACAGGAAATGTGTGCAGGGAACAGAGAAAAAAAACTCCTGGTCTTTAAGGGACAAACCTGGCCTTTCCCGTCTCAGTTCGCCTGTGGCGTGCAAGTCAGCAGAGCTGGACTTAGTTGCGTAAGACGTGTACAGCTGCACCACCCTGGCTCTTAACACTTGTCCAGAGTAGGGAACACGCGTAAAGTTCACAAATGGAGGAAGGGGGGCCCTAATGGGCGAGGGGGGGGCACATGGTGATCCCTCAGCAGGGCACAGGGGCGGGGGGTGTTAGCACCCCGGCAGCAGCCGGGGCTGATGGCTGTCCCAGTTTGCAAGGGCTCACGCCGTAGGAGTCCCTGCGCACGCGGGCTGAGGATACCTCACGGTAGACAGAGGCGGAAGATGGAGGGGAGCGAGGGAGAAACCTTATCCATCTGGGATATTGAGTTAAATGTCACTGCTGGGCCCTGAGGGAGACACTGACAGGCCGACCCCTATCACAGCCCCCAAATCTCAGAGGTCAGAACGGCTGTACGACAGCTGAGGCCCAGAGAACGACTGGGTGAAACAGAGATGGGACACGGGCAGAGCAGAACAAATATAAAACGTTTTAGCATGTCTGGGAACACAAAAGTTCATTCAGCAGAGATTAAGTTGCACATGTCAGCCTCGCTGACTCGTATAAACTGGTAACACATTCGGTTGAAGCTGGATGCTTTCATTCCAGCAATTACATATTTACTTGTATATGAGTAGAACCATTTTTACGATTGAATTCTTTTAAATTCTATCAAAACAAAAAGAACTCTTCTTTACAGAGTAAAACCCTGCTATTGCTTAAAACATAGGCTGAAGGGTTTCCCTCCTTATTTTTCACCGCTCTCAGACTCAGGATGCTTTGATGTACTGTACCTTTTTTCCCAACGTGCCACATGGCAGCTGGCCTCCGGCAGCTGAGCTGAAGCTTGGAAGCTGCCACAAAAACAACTTCCTATTTTAGAAACTCTCTGTGGAGGACCAGCACAAGCTAATGTTTGTCTTATGAATAGGTTAATACTGTATACCATTTACATGACCTCATCACTAGACTATACATCACTAGTCAGATTCTCTCTGAGTGTAAAGTGCAAATAGTTTATCGTTTAGAATATGAGTTATAAATGCAGTTTTGTTTCAGTGTCATTGGTTACTGACACAGGAATGATGTTTGAGCTTAAAAACAGCTTTGAGCCTTTCAAAGTTAATCCCTTTGTCATCTTAAACGTTGTTTAGTCCATGAGAGTTATGTAACAGCAATTAAAACGCTAGAATGAGCCATTACTGCCTGCACTGACCACACTTGAGAGTCCTAGAACAAGTCTGTGACAGTTATGCATTTTTTTATGTGTATTTGAAATCTCTTACAGCAGCCAAACTAAATCTCTTGACAGAAGCTTTTTTAAATATGACAATGAACTGCCTGCCTGTAGAAATTCATTCAATTTTAATTTGGACTAAAGGACATTTTTATATTCAGTGGGTTTTTGAGGGTCTCCACACTTTTTTCTCCTCAATATGTTAAGTTATACGGATCATCAAGGCTAAATACAGTTTCAGATGGTCACAGTTGTAGAGATTGAGGTAGAACAAAAACAGGGTTTCTGAGTGATAGATGAGAGACAGGAGCCTGGTGTTCAGCAATCATATAAATATAGTGACAAACTGCAGTGGGGAGGCCAGGCAGGTTTGCACACAGTTGCCATGACAACTTGGTCCGGTGATGATGAAAGAGTGCTCAAAGCACTGATGTGAAAATGAAGGTTTTTTACCGGCCACAGCGACCGCGTGGGGAAATGAGAGAACCCGGCGGAGAGGTGCATTCTGTAGAACTCCTGGTGTCAGTTACGG